CTAAAGCACATTTTTCAGACAAGGTCTGAACACAATTTCCACATTCCTTCTTGTAACAATCTCAGTGAGGTATTTTCTTGCAGGGACACCAGAGGCCTGTGCAGTGAGCAGCGTGCCTGGTTCTGTTTGTTATGCAGAGCAAAGTAGACATTGAGGAGCTGAGTAAATAAAAGGCCTGGAAGGTTTTCACAATTTCTAAAGACTTCTTGACCCTAAAATGTCTGCAGATGGATACGACTTATTTCAAATATTTTTTGTTCAATCAAAACTCATTTTGTAATTATGAGCATCATTCCCAATGTTACATTCATTTTTCAGACACATGGTATGAGTCAAGTATAAATGAAGAATTATGTCTTATTTTTTTGTTCTTGTATCCTCCTATTTTTTGTTCCAATTTTCACAGTTAGTTCAAAATCTGGTCTAGCCCTTGTAACTTTACTCATATCTTGTAACTTACTTAAGCAATTTTTACTTTGCCAAATGTGTTTTCATTCCTATCTTTTGTGTTGTTTCTATTTTGTTCAATATTACTATGAACAGAAGCAAGGAATAGTGACCCTTGATTTTTGTAAAGTGGATCCATAAATGTAGGTATTTCTTTCTGTATTTTCATTGGGATTTCACCTTTTGATGGTTGGATTATGAGTCAATGAGTATAGTAATTATCGATACCAAAAAAATCCATGAAAATTTATACTTTGTTATAAGAATTGATGCAAAAACCCAATCAATATAAACCTTTTTTTACCAATTCAGGGGTGAATTTTTGTACAATATTCTGTCATCATCATGAGGAGTTGTTGATAAACACTACTATACGTAATAAAATGTAATAGGAAAAAAAAAAAGAAAAATTTTCATTGGTTCCTTGGGACTTTCTTTTATTTTCCTTGTCATTTTTAATGCATTTTCCTTAAAACAGCATGTAAGTATTATATTAAAAAAATATAGTAAACTGCAACAACAGTTGCAGTCAACAACAGTCTTACAGTTGATTCTAAAAACCAACTGCCTCAGAGTTGTGCATTATATCTAAATTTCTCCTTGAGATTTCTTTTATATTCAATGCAGGAAAGATATTTGGGGATAAAGGATGATTTAGCCCACCTTTAAAGATGTGTCAAAAAAAATGTAATAAAATGCACACCACTGTTTAGAAAAGGAGACCAGATTACTATCTTAGATTAAGTGACTGGTTTTTGGATAACTGAACTGGCGGTAAATTGATCCCAATTCTTATAGTTAAACTTACAAGGAAAAGAATTTTTAAATTTCAGATATGGAGGATAATTACATTATAAGCTGCAGATTACTTCTATCATATTAACTGTATTTCTTTAATTAAGTTGTGTACACAAGATCTGATATACATGCTTGTCCTTGGATCCTGAGTTAGAGTTTGGGTAAGCCTGTTCCATGCCGAGTGCCCACTGGAAAAAGAAGTGTAGAAGAGCACAGCTTCATGCACAATAGCTTTGCCGTGATAGAAGGGATTGTTAAAGACCTTCACTTCAAGCTTCCCACTCTCAGCATTCAGTTAATGAAAATTGGCTTGTGGAATTTCCCAAAACTTTTATTTTAACTTCTATGAACTTTGCCACTTTTTTCTTTTGGTAACTTTGTTCTAGAGGTGTTTATTAAATAAATGGGATTTTTTTAGTAAGAAGTAAATCCTGTTGATGACCCTCAACAATTTTTTATAGATTAAAAACTCCCATCTCCCTTTCAGCATTGAAGACCAATCTTTGTTTTCAGAAGTGCTCAGTAGCCTACAGCTTTCGCTAGCCTCAACCTCAGGATGTCAAAAAGCAGGTGTCATCACTGTGACACAAATATCACCATATCCTCATGCAAAACACCTCTTGAGCCCCTTGGATCTTTGTATAGATATTGTGGTAATTAGTATTACAGACAGCTGATGTTAATAAAGGTCAGAGTAATACTGAAGATATATGTATTAGATTAATATTCCACTAATAGCTTGAAGCGTAGCTAAGGGAGCCTAGTTTATTTTTCTAACAGCATCCTTAAATAACTGGGGATATGTTGGTCTTCTCATGCAGTATTGTGATGATCTATGGAAAAAGGTATGGAAAAAGGTAAGCAAATAAGAGGATGAGTTGTATAACTGCATGCATTTTTCTGAAAGTAGAGAGAATGAAATGTGGAGAATGTTCAGCTTGAAGCTAATAGATTTAAGACATGGTGGACCATATTAATAATAAATATATCAAATTGCTGTTTAACAGTAGATCTTACTAGTGAGTTCTGAAGCTACCTTTGTAACCACTCCATAGCATGTAAAATCAAGTGGGTGATCACTCCTTGTAACACTGATACAGTGTTAATAAATGCTTAGTTAGGATTTAATTTAGCCTGTAGGTTGTGCCTTGAACTCTCCTTACTGTCAAAGTTGAATATGACTTTTAACATCTCTTGACCTGTCTACCTGACTCCACTCAACATTAGAATGAGGTTAAATACATTCTCCTTTACTACGTCTAGGATGACCACACAAGTTGTGTTCTTCTAACATGAAACAGGTTTTTATCACTGAGGTCTACACTGCACATCACCGGAAGTAATGTAATTATGTAAAAGGATATATTACTAAAAGGAGATATGTGTATCAAGCTTCCCAGGACATTTGAATTATATTTAATGAAGTTATATGACATTGAAAGAGCAATTCAGTGTTTTATGCATGTGGCTGTGGTGGCTGTGCTCTTCCACAGCACTAGCTGTTGAGAATTACAATCATAATGTCTGTAGGTTTAATTCAGGAGTTTTCCATCAACTGTTGCTTTCACACTGGCTTCCCTTCTGGCCTTGAGATCAATTAACACGCTGAGGATTCAGCATTTTGTCCTTCAGTAGGCAGAAGTGCTTTCATCTTATTCTTCTCTCTGGACCAGAGAGGAAGTGCAGTCTGAGTACAAACAGAGCAATTGCACAAGTCTAACAGAAGCACAGGCAGCCTTATTCAAATATGTTGTTATTGGATTAAGGAAAAAGTAAAGTAGTAGCACGTGAAAAATAAAAGTAGCTCTGTCACCATCCTGGAATATTCCTAACCGTTCAGTAACACCATGAGAGGCCTGTATTCACTACGAATAATAAAACCATAGCATTAAACTAATCAAATTGAAATCCATTCAACAGCATAATTTCAGTGAAGAGATACTTATGAAACACAAAATGAACTCCAAAATGAAAGGCTCATTGCTTCATAATCAAAAGCAGTCAGCTTTAAACATCAGCTGGTTAGGTGATAAGTTTGTCATTTCTCACCTGCAGTCTTGGAGAGAATTTGCCTAAAAGGCTTGACAGACTTTAGACTTCACAGAGCATTTTTGCCCATTGATAGCCCTCATTTTGGTATACTGGAAATACTGGAAGGTTGGGAGGAGAGTCTGGTAACAGTAGTTCTATTAAAATATTTTTGCATCAACAAAGTAGGGTTTATGATGTGAAAAAATATATAGGCTCTGAAAAGAAACTCCCACCACCCATCAGGATTGATTCTTTCCTGTCTAACTGTCTGGCTACTTTGGGAGAGTGAGTATCAGTGATTAATTGTCGAGGATTCAGGGATGTACAGGCATGCAATACATCATTAAAACCAGAGGTCAGGTAGGCTGAATTAAAATGGGAAGTTCTGAATGAATATATTATTTCTATATTCAATTAACAGCAGAAATCAGAAATCATTGGCTTTCGTAAATTAGAACAATGGCAGCTCTCCAGTGAAAACATTTATAGTGGTTTTACATTGCTCTCTACAGGCAGTGTGCAAAAGGGAGAGGCACAAATTAATATGCAGTAAGACAGTAACAGAGAAACCTGTCTTTTAACTCTTCTTTCCTTTTAATCAGCATGAGTTCTGCTAAATAGAAAGAATTATGAGTAGTTGGAGAGCATCTAGGTTACTGAGGGTAAATCACTCTCAGGGGAATAACTTTGCAGTTTGAGCAATGGAGTCTGACCTTTACATGACTTGAGATGAACAGGTCTTTTCTGCTTTAACCCAGCATGAGTAGCAATTGCAAGGCAGCTAACCTGAAGTCACACAACTGTCTTTTCCTACATGAAAGTCTCTTTTGGCAGTTATACCATTGTCCTGGATGAATTCTCTAATGCTGACTAATGTCTTTTATTTCACACCCTCAAATGGGGGATTCTGTTGGTATTTTAGTAATGTCTGATATCAGTGGAAGTCCCATTAAGTTTCCAAGGTTCTTAAATTGCTACTTGGAGTTTATTTGTCTTGTAACTCAGGTTATAAAAGTAGCACCATAAACATTAATTGAACAACCATTAAGCAGCATGGCTGTTTGTTTTGGGTTGATAGAGGACATAAAGCTTCATACCCTGTGGTGGAAAACAATTAGATCTGATGATGAACATGCTATTAAATAAACCATTACCAGACTTCTATCATTTTAACTTTAGAAAATAGCAACCAGCTGTGGCTGAATCATATGCAAGTGATAGAAAGTTGTATTTTAATTGTCATGTCATAGCCTGTTATAAATATTGTAGTTTTTAATGTTTTGTGGTAATGACAGTGACTAATAGTAGTCATTATCTCCATTCATTCTCATAAAAAATTTCTTCAAGAGAGGCTGATCATAGCCAGAATGCCATTTAAAATTAAACTTTGTTTTCCTAAAATAGAGAACATAAAGAACGTTTAAATACCAAGAGGCTGGCTGGCTAATTTATTTTGTTTTGAGCATGTTTGACAACTACAGCTGTTGTAAACTGTGTCAGGGGTTGAACTGATATTTCTTTCAAAAATATTTTTGGCACAATAATGTGTATGCATGTCACGTCTTCATGTGCTCTTTGTAGCATGGGATAAAAGGTGAACTTCACAGTGGGATACCTGTGGCCAGAAAAAAGTATGCTGCTGCCCCTATAGAACCGTAATATTAATAACATTAAATGTCTTCATCCATTTCTTATTTCAGTAATGCATTCTGCTTACTTGACAGGTACAGAGTACTTCATTATGTGCGCGAACAGAAATGCTTAAATGGATGAAGCAGCTATTTACGTATGATAGGAGCTAAGTGGGACATTAAATTAATGCCAAACAAGTGAGTGCTCGTTTTAGTTTTGTTATAAATGGCTGCAGCACAGCAGTAATGTGTTGACTCTCATGTGCTGACAAGTTCTATATTTCTTACAAAATTCCCTTAGAACTCAATGTGGAAAGACAAATTCACACTCTGCATGATGAAATTAGCAGCAGATGCATTAATAATTGAATAAGAATCTCTGGAGAGACACCATAGTTCAGCAGGGAAATTGGTGACTGACTCTTTTTAACTAGGGATTTCTGTGATATATATGCATTTAAATAAGCCCCAAGGTGAGAGACTCTGCATGTAGTTTTTGGTATTGTTTCTGCTTTTAGAATGCCTTGCACAGTTACACACTGCTTGAACTGGCAATGGGCATATAGCCTTGTTTGTCCCTCCTTCCTATGTGACTCTTACCAAACTTTCAAATTCAATACAGATCCTTTTGAATTTATTTCCAAAATATGAATGCAAGGATTCACTGTATGCAAGACGCTTGCCATGGAACCACACATCTTGAGTTCCTATAGAGCTGAAACATTTTCCATTAGTGTGGCAAGCAATTTGAAAGAACCAGAAGAAAAGTATGAAGACAGTATACTGTCTTCTTCTCTTCCATCCTTTTACAGGGATTTGATTCCGAGTGAATCACACAGAATCATAGAATGGCCTGGGTTGTGAAGGACCACAGTGATCATCTAATTTCAAACCCTTGCTATGTGCAGGGTCACCAACCACCAGACCAGGCTGCCCAGAGCCACATCCAGCATGGCCTTGAATGCCTCCAGGGATGGGGCATCCACAACATCCTTGGGCAACCTGTTCCAGTGCGTCACCACCTCTGTGTGAAAAACTTCCTCCTAATATCTAACCTAGACCTCCCCTGTTTTAGTTTAAAACCATTCTCCCTTGTCCTACCACTTTCCCCCCTCATAAGCAGCCATTCCCTCTCTTGTTTATGTTTGACAACTTGTATTGGAAAGCCACAATGACGTCTCCCTGGAGCCTTCTCTTCTCTAAGCGAACATGAATTGCAGGTTCCAAAATTTGTATCCTCTTCACAGAGGAAACAAGAAGATATGTAGAACAATTCTACTTTTAACAGATGACCCAAGGTCATAACACAAATCCTAAAGCTTCAATTATGATAATTCCTCACACCACGTAATATTAGGATCAGAAGACATTGACAAAATAGTTTGATATTTAGTAGATGGCAATACCATCCAGATAAATTCACGTAGATTTAAGATCAGTGTTTTGTTTCACTAGTGCCAAGATACTGATAAAAATTTGAATAATCTGAGAATTTGTCCCAGTTGAAGGAAGAGTAACAAAATCTAGCACAGTGGTATTTGATTAACACCACATACTTGTCAGTTCTGCTAACTATTTTTGCAAGTTTCATTTACTTGTTTGGAGTTGCATAGATGGAACTGACCTCTGTGTTCTGGTTTCCTTCAGTTACAGGTTGTTTTACAAATCTCAGGATCTGGAAGACAGAAAACTTTATCTTCTAAATGCCTATCTGTATTCATAGAGTTTCATCAGCTAAAGGAAAGCCAGTTTTAATCTTAGGTTTTGAACATGTTGATATTGGTTTGCAATTTTTCCAGTAAGCAATGATATGATTTAATAAAGTGGTTGTCTTTTAAAAAGTCCGTGTTCACATAAAAGAGGTTTAATTTCTTCCTTTGAAATATGAAACTTTTTTACTGAATATCAGTGTATATGTTATTTATTCAATAAATTTGGTATCTGTCTTCTAATCAAGATAATGAATTTAAAATCTTTTTAGTACAAAAAAACATTTTAGAAAATTATTTTCATTGCTTGAAATATGACAGAAGTCTAAGAGATTCATATTTGTTCAGTGATATACTGTCATGACTATTAGACACCTTGAAATGTACTGAAAGGTGATGAAAGAACAGCACATTTTTTGCTTTGCAGTGTCAGACCACTGATGCAGATGTTGAAGATCAGTATATCCAATGAAGTCAGCATCCTAAAAGTGTACTATGGCTTCAGCATCACTTCTTTTGAGGTGCTTGAAATAAAGATGTAGAGAATAAATCGGTTTTATCTTTAATTAGCAGGCATAACTTTTCTGTATAATACTTTTCATTTGATCCATGCATGTATAATATATTTTGTTGCTGTTTAAAAAAAAAAAAAAAAAAAGTCAATATTATCTGAGCTTGTAAGGAAAAGACTAGATACATAAACAAGATTGTGCACTGGTAGAAGAGAAGAATATACCTGAATTATGTAGAGGAATAGATATGGATGAGGAGAAGGAGAAGAGAGATCACAAGTCACTAACTATGGCTGTATGTTTCATGTCTCTGTATAGTGTGTTTAATGCTATTGATAACTACTGTAGCTTTTTTTACTAGGTACGAGCTTCATCAGAGGTGCCTTTGTTTGTTCTTAACATCTGAAGTGATCACTGAATTTCGCATCTCTAGGAAGTTATCATTCCTGTAGAAGCAAACAGATGTTTCTAAAGCTTTCTAGTGAATCACTAAGCCAATGGCTTTTATTCAGGTATTGCAGGTCACTATTGTTCAAAATAGCAGAGGAAATCAAAAGAATCACCTGTCTTTTGCTATTATAGTAATTTTGCACTTGAGTATATGAGGCTAGGCTAAGATAGAAGGTATTGAGGAAGACACGGAGTGATTCTCTTTGAGCTCTGCCTTGGGAAGTAACAGTAAAAGTTATATTTCAAATTACAACATTATTTGAAATGTGACTTCATTTTAAAATTTTTTTTAAGCATCTTCATTGTCAAGTTTTTCTCCCTTGACGATGTTGAATTGTTTGTATTCCTCTTCGAGGCAGAAAGATAAGTTTCTAATTGCCAGTCTGGCAGCCACTGCCTGGAGATCAAGTGGTATATTTTTTGGTTTTTGCTTTACCACTAATACTGATACTCTTGCAGGCCAGAAATGCTTTTCCCTTATGCGTTCACAACCTTCTTCAGAGTCTTCATACTCTTCCCCTCTGCTGCCATCTGTCACAGAGCAGCAAAATGTAATGCAAAATTGGTGGGAAGGTTCAACCTCAACTGCCATACCACCACCATCCACCTCAGATGTCACTGCCCAACATGATAAAGTAGGAGGTATTACTTTCAGGGCAGTTGTTGTACATCCCCACAGATGTATTTACATGTTCAGAATGTCCTTTAGTATTTTTACTTAATGTACTTCTACACTTGTCATTTTAAGAAAATACTTTTGAACATAGATTTTAAGTAAAAGACTCTCAGAAGATGATTAGAACTTGAAAGACTTCAGTTAGTACAGGGATTCCTGAGTACAAGTAGATTGTTTTATTTATCCCCTAGATAACTGTACTAAGAAAGTCTGTTAGAAGGTCAGGAAGGTCACGTGTTCAAAGGAGGGCAACAAAGCTGGTGAGGCGTCTGGAACACAGGCCATATGAGGAGAGGCTGAAGGAGCTGGGAATGTTCAGCCTGGAGAAGAGGAGGCTCAGGGGAGACCTCATTGCTCTCTATAACTTCCTGAAGGGAGGCTGTAGTGAGCTGAGGGTCGGCCTCTTCTCTCGTGTCATTAGTGATAGGACCAGGGGGAATGGCTTCAAGCTACGGCAGGGGAGATTCAGGCTGGACATTAGGAAGTATTACTTTTCGGAAAGGGTGGTCAGGCACTGGAACGGACTGCCCAGGGAGGTGGTGGAGTCACCGACCCTGGGGGTGTTCAAGGAAAGACTGGATGTTGTATTGAGGGACATGGTTTAGTAGGAGCTATTGGGAATAGGTGAACGGTTGGACTGGATGATCTTTTAGGTCTTTTCCAACCTTGGTGATTCTATGATTCTATGATTCTATGAATATCAAGATAGAAGATGGAAACACAGAAGTGTAGAAGATAGTAGATAGTTTTCCTTCAAAAAATTTGAAGTTGTGATTCTCCTATGATGCCAACAATGATCAACTGAAAATAGGGCAAGGATGAAGTCTGGATCTTAACAGTGGATACAAAGAAACTACACGTAATTGATTTAGAAATATCACTTGCTACAAAAGCAGAGAACAGTGCAGACTTAAAATGATGAGTTGGAGCCACTCCTGCAAACTCTTGTGCCTTGATCTTTGCAGAAAGGCAAAGGTTAACACAGGAAGCCTTCTTGCCAGGGCAACAAGCTGCACTTCTGTATAGCTTGAACACTATGCTTACAAAAAGTTAAAGCCTCCAAGCTAAAACTAGTTTTTTAATTGTTTGTTTCATTTTAAGCAGTGGTCAGATAGGGCCTAGTAAGATAGGCATCATTTTCTGGAGTATTAAAAAAGGCAGTAAATTAGTAATGTTTGTGTAAATAACCCAGATGACAACCATACTCTTACAGGGGTTAAAGTCTAAAGCCAATGGAGTTTTAAATGCTGCATGTGTTACAAGTGCACAATCACTTCATGTTCTCCTCTAGTAATAATGGATTTGTTGAAATAAACAATTATATTCATAAACAGAGAACCTCTCCCATATGGAGAGACATACCCACAAAGTGGTGACCTTTTGGATAACCAATGCCAGAACTTGGTCTGTATGAAGACTTAGGAACATCAGACATTTGTAACCTTGGCTCTGAAGTGATAAGGTACCTGTGAGGAATAACAGTGTCAACATAGAAAGTTCCTCCCCAGCCTCAGGAATTTGATGAATAACTTTTACTCTGAGGATATATGTTATTTTATTATTATTATTTTAAAATGTCTTATTGCTTTAAAATGCTTTTATGTTAAATGTGCAAAAGAGAGCTTAGCAACAGGGTTCCTCCATAAGAAGGTGGGGTTTATTGGGTGAGGAGACAAGATGTGCTTTCGCCAGAAATATGGCTGTTCCCATTGCCCATAAACACATCTTTATGATATATGTGAGAACAGTTTTAGCTCAGTACTTGCTAATAATTTGGCTTTGGGATTTTTTTCAAATTCATTAAAAAAAAAAAAAAAAAAAAAAAAAAAGTGATTGTCTATCTCCTAACATTTCTGATTTTCCTGATTTCCAAATTAATGAATAGGAATATTATCATCAATAGGGGGCACTGACACTAGCTTCCATTTTAGACAATAGAATTTTTTAAGAACATTCAGTTCAGATTCTAGCACACCTTTGGGCTATAAATAACCTAATATTCTAATTATATTTCACATTCAACTATTTGCTGTTTCTTGGACATCTGTTATGCATTGAGCAGCTGTTTCTATTGGGATGGCCACAACTGCTTTTAAGCATTTTCCTTAACACAATAAATACAGGGGCAAGAAATGCGTATCAGTGTCCAGACTTCTGAAGTACCTGCTTTAACAGTGTCTCTGAAATTTCTTAACCGTCTTTTCAAATCTATCGTATTTATGCTTTTGTGTTCTTCCTGTTTTCACATTTCACTTTCAACCATATTCTAAGATTTTAATTAAAGTGTATTTAACCTCAATCTTGATATGTGTACCAAGGTGTTGCAATATTAATCTTCTAATATGCCTTAACAATTCCTCTGGCTCATTATCAGAACCTCATCAGCTTCTTATCCTCTCACAGGCGATCTTTGTCCAGAGAGATTTTTGAGTAGTACAGAGAGCAAGATTTCTCATAATGATCAGTTGTTTAATTTGTAGCTTCTTAGGTACTGTACTGTTTGTCTATGAAAATCAGAAAGTCTGCCTCCACACAGCATCACAGAATGGGATACAAGGACAGGGAGACATTTGCAGCCTCTTCAAATGCTTTGTATCATAACAATAGAAAAAGTATTCTGAATTAGATAGAAAAGTGTTATCTATATCTACTGTTCACATGCTTCAGGTCTCTTTCTCATCAGCTTTAACCTCTTTGTGCCATTTGTTTTTAAAGATACAATATTTTTCACATACTGAAAAATATATTTTTTAATGAAAACCAGTTATTGTATCTGTGAGTTGTAGACAAACAGTAGTTTGTAGTTCAGCTCATCTCAGTATCTGCCAGTTCAATGGCAGAATGAACTCTGATACTACAACACTGGCAGACAATTCAATTAAAAGACAATGATGCATATGTTTCAGAGGTTCACATACATTGACAGAATTTGGCATATCGCTGTCCTATCAGCAAAAGGTATTTCTATAATATAAATAGATGTTTGCACAGCTAATTCTCTCTGAGAACCTGGAAAAAGGACAACAAAACTAATTTTATCACAAGAGTACACAAGAGGACACAAGAGTAAACAGGAATGTATTTAGACATAAACTTTAAAAGATTTGAATGATAGTGATCCAAGCAGAGGAAAGTTAAATGCAACAAAAGTAAAAACCCTGAAAAAGAATATAAGAACACATTTAGTCCTTTTACTGAAAACTACAAAGGGCTGACTTTCCATAAGCTATAAAAGGCGTCATTAAATTATCAGCATTTATCAATTATTATTTGTGGTTTCCAAGATGCTCCTGCCTCTTCCCGTACTCTGAATAACTACATAGAACTCCACCTGTAAGGAAGTTTGAAGTGTCAGATTAATTAAAAAAATAAAAAATAACAAATATACCTTATTAAAGTAATGACAAATTCTGTTCAACTCAGTGGGTCAAATTGTAGGAATAAAGGACATCAAATCTGTCTAAAAATATACTGTGCAAAATGGAATATTACAGAAAATAGTTTATTATAAGGACTACTTCAAGTCATTTCAATGGTGTTCTCTGGGGTATAGTCTGTGTACCAGTAAAAATCTCCCTTATTTTTACTAATTCTATTAAAGTAGCCATCACCTCCAAATAGTGGTAAAGATTGGGCAGACTCACCTCAGGATGAACCCTACATACACACACGTTTTCTGAAATATAAACAATTGGCACCTGCTGAGCCATAATCCCTAAATCAGAAACACAAATGTTTGGATTAACAAAAAATGGAAAGCCTCATTTTTTGTTGTTGACTTCTGAATGCATATTTTTTCACTTTCAGTGTTATATGCATGACTGACATGTTTTATCCTGCACTAGAAAATCAGCATGGCTGTTTGTGTAGAAACTACAAAGGGCAGAGGTGATAAAATTCAGGCTAATCCACACCTTCACTGAGGCTCAATGACTTACATGAGTTTTAAAATCAAGCCTTCAATTCAGTATTATATATGATGCAGTATGAAGCATCTAAGATTTGACACTCAAGAATCATGAAAATAAAAAGATATTTTATCTCTTTAAAGTAGTTTGCTCTGGTACAGGAAAAAGTTGAGAAGATATGAAACTTAAGCATATGTGTACTATTATTGAAATCTTTTTTATTTTTACATACATAAAGTTCTAGCATTCTACTGCATCAGAGACTAAATGCTCAATAATCTTTGGGTTTTTAGCACATGCCTGAAACTGCTGCCTTTCATATCTGAAGTGCATAGGTAAGGAATAGAGACTTCAGACAGAATAATCAGAATATAATCTTACAGAATAATCCACTGTGCAAACAAAGCTGTGATTATGAGCAAACTGCTTAAACTCTGATGCTGAAGGAAAAAAGTTTGAAATCTTTCACCAGCACAGTTTATTTTTTGGACAGGATTGTGATATTTGATTTGGTTGGTTTTGTTTTGTTTTGGGGGGATTCAATACAGAAACTGTAGAGGTGTGTTAGACTGCAGCTGGTGGTGCTAATTACCCAGGGCAAAGGAAGTTATCTTTCCTTCTGTTTTGTGCTGTTTTTCAGACCTGATGGATCCCAGAAGGTGAACCCGTAATCAAGTCTTTATTGGGGACTTCTTGACAAGACCAGCTCCAGCCACTGTTCCTCATCTCATACAAGGTGTTCTGGAATGGCTTTCCTTCAGCCCCACAGCAGGACAAGCAACCAAGTGCTCCAGGTCAGGCTGCCTGCACATTCTGATCCTAGAAGTAATAGATTGGCAACTAAAAAATATATTTGGCAGTGACCTCCCTAAATCACAAACACTTTGAAGCCTGATGTGGTCCCTGGGATTGCCTTCAACAAGAAGGTAGTTAAACAGTCACTTTTACGCTGGAGTTCTCCCTAGCTCTCACAGCATATTCATCAAACCTACTCAGAGTTCATGCAGTTTATTTATTTGATTGATTGATTTGATTCCACAAATATGTTGGCTATTCTAATTGTCATTCTAATTCTAAGTGAGTTTCAAAGGAGACTGGCCGTCCACATTTGGAGGACTGATGCTTTAAAAATGCAACAAAATAATGAAAATTAAAATCAGTAGTTACTCCTACTTGCAATTTTAATCTTTTTAACAAACTTCTTATATTGTCTTATTTCCATATTTCTGCAATTTTTAATGACACTGGTTTTCATTTTACACTGTAAGAAGAAAGGAAATTTTTCAGATGAGTTGTTTAATAAAGTACAAAGGATAGAATCATAGAGCATCCTGAGGTGGAAGGGACCCACAAGGATCATTGAGTCCAGCTCCTGGTTCCACACAGACCACCCAAAAATAAGATCATATGACTAAGAGTGTTGACCAAGCACTCCTTGTACTCCAGCTAGCTCAGGAGCATGACTACTGCCCTGGGCAGCCCGTTTCAGTGCCCAACCACCCTTGGGTAAAGAATCTTTTCTTGGTATTCAACTTGGACCTCTCTTGACGCAGCTCCATGCCATTCCCACCTTTTCTGCTAGTTGCTAGTTGCTAGTTACCAGAGACAGGAGATCAGCACTGCCCCTCTTCTTCCGTCATGAGGAGCTGTGGGTTGTGATGAGGCCTCCCCTCATTCTCCTCTACCCTGGGCTGAAGAAACCAAAGGATCTCAGCTGCTCCTCATACATTTTTCCATTTCTAATCCTTCAGCATCTTTGTAGTCCTCCTTTGAACATTCTCTAATAGTTTTATATCCTTTTTGTACTGTGGCACCCAAAGTTGTACTCAAATGAAGCCACACCAGTGGGGGTAGAGTGGGACAATCCCTTTCCTTGCCCAGCTGGCAATGCTATGTTTGATGCAACCCAGGATATAGTTAGCCATACTGGCTGCCTGAGCATACTGTAGACTCATGATCAACTTGTTGTTGACCGAGATCCTCAAATGCCCTTCAGTGAGGCTGCTATCCAATGTCTCATCACCCCATCTGTATGTTTAGCCAGGGTAGGTGAGGTGTTGAACTATAGATCTGTCTAGATTTTGATTTACTTAAAAGTTGTCAAAGTCATTAACTTCTGTCTATGAAAATATGTAGGCCTTGTTTTCGTCTCTACCCTCTACCCTGCCTTAAGAAATCCAAAATTCTAGTCAGTATAAAAAACAAGCTCTGAATCCTAGTGTCAACATTCACCTATTTCTCTTTTCAGAATACAATGTAATTTCAGCAGACATCACTGTAACCCAGACATAAAGGCTCATGCCATGTTAAATAACATGCTGTGTAGATTTCATCTGTTGGAGATCAATTCTGTACCTCTATCAGGAGAAAAAGCTATTTCCAGTAGTTACAACTTTTAACGTTCATAATGTGAAATAATCTGTATATTGAAATCATTCAAGGGAAATCTAGTTTTTCTGCATGCTTATTCGTACCGAAAAGGTCTCAGTAAACAATAAAAAATCATATTTTACTATGGCTGCAGCCTTGACTCTGGAATTGACATGATACAGGGCATTTGTATTTACAGTTTGTGCAGCAGTACATTTGATCCATGATTTTATTATTCTTCCGCCAAATAATTCATGTCCTTCCAGATTTTGCCTTCCCTCCAATGTATCGACTGCACCGCTCAGCTTGGTGTCATCTGCAAACATGTTGAGGGTACACTCAATGCCGTTTGCCACTTTGACATCTACTGCAATGGAAGAAAGATTCTACAGGAATTAAATGACGTGTTTTTGTTTTGTTTGGATTGGTTTTTAAAGTCAGTAACTGTTATGTTGCCTACAGGAAGTAAAGGAAATTGGAATGAAATAAATGTAAACATAAGGATTTAATGTCTTAACAAAACTGAATTTGGAGATAAGCCTAAAGTGATACCTAGAGAATCAGTTTTGAAATCTAGTTTTAAAGAGCAAAAATTAGTATGGAAAATTCCTCCTGGGTAATCCAGTCTATCTAGTTATCAGGGAAGCTGGTTGCTGCAATGATATGTACATAGCTCAGAAGAAATGATAGGAAGAAAAAAATAAGGAAAACAAGAAAAAGAAGAAATCCATCCATAAATTTAAATTAGTTTTCTAAAGTTTGGCTTACTGGTAAAATATTCGGAAGCATGTAAAAATATTTCATGTACACCGTCATATTTTTTTATCTCCTGTCACGTAAAATCTCTGTCCTTTCTTCAGGGGCCTGACGGAAATCTGAGTTTCCTACTTAAATTGTATTTTACTAAGTAAAAGCCAGAATCCCTTGAAAAGTTAAATGTCACCTGCTATTTCTGTCAAGAAACAGTTTGGTGAAATTCCCACTGACTGGAAAAAGGGAAACATAACCCCCATTTTCAAGAAGGGAAAAAAAGAAGATCCAGAGAACTACAGGCCAGACAGTCTCAGATCTGTGCCTGGCAAGATCACAGAGCAGATCCTTCTGAAGGCTACTAAGGCACATGGAAAATAAAGATAAGGTGATTGGTGGTAACCAATATAGGTTCACTGAGGACAAGTAATGCCTGAGAGACTTGGTGGCCTTTTATGATACAGTTACAGTGTCAGTGGATAAAGGAACAGCAACTGACATCATCTACCTGGACTTGTGCAAAGTGTTTGACACTGTCCCACATGACATCCTGGTTGCCAAATTGGAGAAAAATGGATTTGCTATGTGGACCACTTGCTGGATAAGGAGCTGGCTGGATGTTCGCACTCAGTGGTTGCACATGCAGTTGCAGTCAGTGGCTCAGTGTCCACCTGGAGAGTGGTGTTCCTCAGAGATCAGTGGTGGGACTGGTGTTGTTTAATATCATTGTAGGCGACATTGAGTGCACCCTCAGCAAGTTTGCAGATGACACCAAGCTGAGTGGTGCGGTTAGCATGCTAGAAGAAAGGGATGCGATGCAGAAGGACCTGGATAGGCTTGAGAGGTGGACCCATGCCGACCTCATGAAGTTCAGAAAAGCCAAGTGCAAGGCCCTGCAGCTGGGTCAAGGCAATCCCAAGCATAATTACAGGTTGGGCAAATAATGTTTTGAGAGCAGCCCTGAGAAGAAGGATTTGGGGGTGTCAGTTGATGAAAGACTCAACATGAAGAGGCTGCGCTTGCAGCCCAGAGTGTCAACTGTATCCTGGGTTGCATCAAGACAGGTATGGCCTGTGAGTTGACAAAGGTCATTCTGCTCCTCTACACTCTACACTTGTGAGATCCCACCTGGAGTGAATGTCCCAACACAAGAAGAGCATGGGACTGTTGGAACCTGTTGGAGCAGGTCCAGAGGAGGGCCACAAAGATTATTAGAGGGCTGGACCGCCTGTCCTGTGAGTAGGGGGAAGAGAGCTGGGTCTCTTCAGCCTGGAGAAGAGTCCAGGGGGACCTTGTAATGGCCTTTCAGCACCTGAAGGGGGCCTACAGGAAATCTGGGGAGGGGCATTTTAGAACGGCGTGTAGCAACAGAACAAGAGGAAATGGCTTTAAACTGGAAGAGGGTAGATTTAGACTAGATACCAGGAAGAAATTCTTTACTGTAAGGGTAGTGAGACACCGGAACAGTTTGCTCAGCAGGTTTTGGATGCCCCATCTCTGGAAGCAGGGGGGTTGGAACTAGGAACTGGTTGGATCTTAAAGGTCCCTTCCAACCCATACCATTCTATGATTCTACGATGATGATACCTCAACTGTTTATTTAATTAGATTTTACTCTTATTTTGGTATTTGTGCATTTGTTATTCTCCAACCCCACTTTTATCCATCCCTCAAAAACAAAACATAAAATCAGTGATACTGAAGTTTATGTAGGCTTGATGTTTAGCGAAAGAAAAAAAAAAGGTTCCCAGCCCTGCCATCTGTAGGATGTATTTACGTAGTTTTCTGTGAAGCACTTTTAAAGTAGAATAGGTGACAGCAATCTCATTCTTAGAAGAGCCATATGGCTCAATTTTATGGATAGCTGATTTTATAATACCTCCAAACAAAACATTTATTATCTTTAAACAGATTTGGATTACTCATGTAGAGGTCAAAGTAGCCAAGTCCAGTGCATTTTTCCTTGAAAAAATTTATAGATTCACAGAATCTGTAATCTCAGAATCTCTTGGGATTTGGAAAGGATAGGCACTTCTTACGTTTTGCATACTTACTGATTACTGTAATGAAACAGTAATTAGTTCGTAGCTATAGTCTCTAGTTCCTCCAATTAAAAACACTACACAAATGTATTTTATTTTTGGAAGGCATCCACATGACAGAACAGGATATTGTATAGTGCTGTGCATTACTGCTATTTCAAATATATAGAAACTAGAAAAGATTGCAAGTTCATGTTTCAGTCATAAATGCGATTTCACGTGCTGGTCTGGGTACCTACTTGTGGACATACATGAATACTAGATTTTTGAAAAGTGAATTATTTGCTTTGGCTTTGCTCCTTCTTTTAGGTACTGAGCTGTATATAGCGATTGAAAGTCAGAAAAATAGTAAATACAGTATCTAGTTTCACTGTAACCTCTTCCTGATTGATGACTTGCCTTCTCCCCAGACTCAGCATTATATCGCAAACCAATTGGCATAACCTGCAGCTAAAACTGTTCCTTGGAGATCTGTTTCTTTTCTAGGGAAATACGGTTTTCATTAATACTAATGTTCAGTCTCAGGTTAAAAAAAATGTGTCTAAGATAGTGTATTATACTCAGAACTTTAAGCTATTGCTCTTCTTAGTGATACTAATCTGTTTTCCTACAGAGAGCCAAGTGAATTGTTACCTGTCATAGCATCCCAATGTTCATCTCTTAATACTTGTGGGTGTGATACAAACCACCTAAAAGAGATTAACTGTGTCTTTCACTGCCCAGACTAGACTGTTTCCTGTGTTCCATCAGTGCAGTTCTGCTGCTGCACATTTTGGTTTGGTAAGTGCTAAGACAAAGATTATTTCCTAGTGATTTTACAATGCTTACTGATCTATAGAGACACAATAGAGTAAACAATAGTTAACAAATTGCTCTAATAGACAGCACAGTCCCTTAGGAGACAATCATAACATCGACACCAAGGTTGAGATATTCTCTCTCCAGGGCATCGTTAACAGTAATTTTATCGCTGAGTGTGTGTTTAATTCTGCAACACCAGTCCCAAGCTGGGAGGTTCTCCAGGTCAGAGGTTAATAATAGGCAAAAACCACTTCACTGTTATGCTCATAGGCTATTGAAAACAAAGAGGAAACCAGTCTGTCTTAAAGTCCCAGCTGGAAGTCCCAGTAATAAAATTCCTTACACATAGCAAAACCAAACTGTGAATGTAAATGAGCAGTTCACTGACTTTTTCTTAAATGGCATGCAGAAGGACAGATTGTGTCATTTTACTGTATTTTTAAAAAAATATATTTTTATTTTAATTAATAGTTTCCTTTACTTTTAGTCTGATTTTCTCCTGAATTAGCCAGAAAAGCTGTAATTTTGAGAAGGACGCAGTGTCACTATAGACAATAAGCTGAAAAGTGGGATGCTATTTGAAGATAAATGTAACCCTTGGGAGACTTAAACAGTCACCAGGAATTGAGGAAGAACTGTTTGTTCATATTTTTATGACTTTACTGGAAAGTCATGTGTCAATATGTTATGTTGAAAAGGATGTTAAAAATAAGATGGACATAAAAAGAGTTCTGAAACAAACAAAAAAGTTAGTGAAAATACATCAAGAGCAAGACACAAGAGAAGCTCTAGCTATTGACTCAGTGTAGACTGAGAAGGCTGCAGGTACCTACAGGCAGGTATTTCTGACAATTAAGAGCTATCTAATTTAGGAAGAAGGAAAGTATAACTAGCTGGAGTCAAGAATTCCATTCTATCTGTCATTTCCATCCCCTCCCCGCAATAACAAAAGTTAACAATGAGAGTTTTTAACAGTTGGAGCAATTTTTATCCTTCTGAAAGCTGTAATGCATCTCTTACTGAAGCTAGAGCGGCTGAAATTGTGGCCATGCCATCCAGGAGATTAGACTTGAAAATAGCATACAATATTACAATTAATATCAATTTTTAAATTTAAGAATTTATAAATCAACCAAGAAGAACCTTTGTCCTACTCATATTTATTATATTTATTACCATTTAATTACAGTTCTCATACTCTGAAACTTTTCCACAGCTTCCCAAAGTAGAGTATTTCATCATAATAATTAAGCCTTGAACCAAATAGAGACTGTTCAGCTCAAGACTCTGAATTGTCATGAGGAAAAATTAAATAAACATAATTTTAGCTTCTGTGTTATGACTGAGTACATCAATAAAAAGTGTAAACGTCTGCTATAGCCTTTAAGCTATAAAAATTTGTGGTTCTGTCTTGATCGTGCTTGATGTGCTGTGTCTTGACAGGTTTTTTTTCTATTCTGTTTCTACAGGTTAGCAGACCTTTAATCAAGAAAAAAAAATCTAATGAGCAGCAATTTGAAATACAGCATTTGGAAAGGTCAAAATGGTACATTACATCCTTATTATCCAAAAGAACAGATGAGTTTAATATCCTGACAGCATTTTCCTGTGAAGAAGATATTAAACAAGAACTGAAAATGGCACAAGGTTCCCTCTTTCTGTCTTTTGACAAAGATTGTAACAAGATGATGAAATTGTATAGAATAAATCTCATCCTGCTTTAATGTTCAGGCTGGGGATCTTGCCTAGATTTCAAACATCTAAGCTAATAAAGAGACAAAATATATGCTATTTTTTTCAGGTATACCCACATGGAGCAGAAGACTTTTACCATGTATTTTCCTAGTTACATGACCCAGTTTCCATCAATATTTTCTAGATTTAAAAATAGGAATAGTTGCTAACAGAAGGTATGTAATGCATCTAATTTCAAGAAGTAGAGCTTTGAACTGCAACAGATAATGCTCTGCATCAAAACGGCTTCAAATGTAAATTTTTCAGCTTCCTTTTGAAAGACTGCATAACACAAAGAATTAATTCCAACACACAATGCATTGTATGTATTCTGCTCTGGCGAGTCCCTGACAATGTGGAACTGTTTGAAGGCAAAGGAATTTGCACTATATCCCATTGATTGTTAGCAATTCAATTAAGATATGGAACTGTCACAATTTGTTGTCTTAAATCTTGTTAAATTGGCCCTCGTGTTAAATCTTATTATTACAGTCGAAAAAATGCTGTGCTTAAAAATCAAAACATGAATATACAACATGCACCTTTATTATTATGACATGCACTTGTATTCATTCCACATGAGACATGAGAAATCTGCTGTTACATAAGAGCATAACAAGTTATATAATAAAAGCTTTCATGATTATTAAAGAAAAACAAATTATATGATTCCAAAAGGTACACCTCTTCAAGTATAGCTGGCTGAAGTAGATGTACATGGCTTTGAAGAAGAACTCATAAGTAGAAATCATATGGAACCTCTTTTTTCTTCACCATCTAGAGAATATATCTGAAAAAATATCTTCGTGGTACTTTACGTGCAGTACCTTGCTGAGAAAACCCATTCTGCTCTGGGCAAGTGAGAGAAGATGAACATGGCCCAAATATGTTTTCCAAGCCTTGAATGAAAAAAATGTTTTTTGTTTTTGTTTTCTTAGGTGGTCTTATTTTCCACTGGAAACTGTAGATACCTCCCTTGTTTTGCAACTGAAATGCAGAATAGCTTTTTGAATGCATTGGTAATGTGTGACCAGTTTCGAAACTTCAGAAGTTTTGCAAAACTACAGAAAAGAAGATCCCTGAAGGGTGCTAATGTCCATAAGCATTTATGAAATGAATGTTTTCCATGTGTCTAGAAGAAATCCACTGAATAACATTTAAAGTTTATAAAGAGTTCATTGTGATTTAGTTAATAGCTCCTGAAACTAAAATGACAAGTAGCTCTTTTTTGCTTCCAAACCAGAAATATAAACAGGTTATGAAGTCTCCAGAAAACAATAAGCAAAACTGTTTTTCAGTGATTTGTTGTTCACAGTTCAGATTCATGGATTTTTACCACGTGAATTACAAAGAAATTGGGCCATATATAATTCTGCTATTAAGAAATAAAATACATGCTGTTGTTACCCAATTTTTAAAAATCAGTTATAGAATGACTGAGTAGAGAACCCAGGGTACTGAGGGGAGTCTCAGCATGTAATGGCACAAACAACTCCAACAGTTCTTAGAGAGAGAGTACCAAATATCTATAGAAGCCAGTGGCATTTCTTACACTTTTTTTCAGTTTTCTCCTGATTATGCAAAATGCTGTTACCGTGTCACACACTATTTAACGTGGGAACTACCTTGAATACATTAGGCAGCTTTATTTAGTTATTTCATGAAATAGATTTTTTCCAGTAGGTGATCACAGTAATTCTGTTTTGAAAAATTACCAAAACAATCAACTGTACCTTGTGAACCAATATACCAGTTTGCAGTGAACTTTTAAGAGGTACCTACTTCCCTGATTTACCTTCAATAAATCAGATTATGATTGGGCATTGCTGTGAAATCTTTCACTAATGAAGGAAGGACGTTAAGAATAAAATCTGAATGTAAAATGTTGGACCTGTGAAACCATGAGTCACATCTCAAAGCAAGGGATATTCCTTAAATTAATGGCAGATTGAAAATAATAATTCAGCTGATGGAAAATCTTTCGTATTGAAGTAAGGTCCTAAAAGAGAGAAGTCAAAACACAGCTGACCATGTGCAGCACACACATTCCCACACAGATGGCTTTGCACCAGGAGGAGCTGGTTTATTGTAATCCCTCTAAGAAAAGTATCATGAAGTATTAGTTAAAATACAATTTACTGCAGCTGATACTGTACAGAAAATGAGTGCATTACATGTAGCTGTTTGTTCCTTTGGATACTGGGAACTTCATTATGGGCCTCCAAGCAGGGCACAGAATCCTGTGTAGAACTTCTGCATAGAAAAATTACCCAGTATTCTAGTCTTTTGAGTACTTCTAGGGCTTTTCTAAAAGAAAATAATTCTGCTTACCATTTCTACTGTCAAACTAAAAAGATATGCGTGTGGGAATTTGTAACTGCTATTTCACATAAAGGCAAGGACAAGCAGGTGATGCAAGTGGGAGTTGCCCATAGGCTGCTTTGTTGTCTGGTGAGGTCTGTCCTGCAAAGAGCGTATGCACCACCCATAGCACAGACTTGAAGGTTGTTCTCAGTGTGGAATATAGTGCAGATCTGCCTCTGCAGAGGGAAATTGCTATGTGGATCACTAATTCCTCCATGTTTGATGGTCTTCAGGTCTGGATCACTGCACATATATGCATACATCCCTGTTTTACGTCTGCATCCTTTTGTGCTCCATAGCGATATGCTGTATTCACATGTACCCACATTCAAAATCTGCACGTCTATTGCAAACACTCCTTTGTACATGACTCTGTCCATCAAGCTGGAATTGTGCAGGAAGTCAGATGGGCTTATTATTACACAGCTTGGCTTAAAATCTGGTTATATTTGCATTTAAGTTTATTTTGTCACACAGTGCTACTTGATATTATATGAATAAATCATCTATAAGCTAGAAAACACATCAAAATCAAGGGAACAAAGTCAGTTGCATTATTAAAGAGAGAAAATAATTTGACATGAAAGGCTTTTTAGAGACAATACAGCCTGTCTGATTTACTAATGTGCACAGAAGTTAATATATTATTCAGCCTTGCTACCACCTGACAGCTATTCTGCATCTGATGGGAGATGTGACTGTGCTCGTAGTCCAGTTCATAGTGGACAGGTGTTGACATCACAAAAATCATCATTAGAAATGGCACTAATTGGCACCTTTGTTGACAACCTCAGCAGAGAGACCAGTGATTGAACCAGCATAGAGGCTGTCTTGCAAGCTCTGCTGGTGAGGGATACTGGGCTCAGCTCTTCCTTTTCTGAAATCACCCTGAGTATTGCACATACTTCAGGTCCTGATTATATTTGCCTGTAAATTCTATGTGCAAGCACACTGCCATGGCATACACCTTGAAGTGATGCCCCCATACATAGTGGGCACTGAAACCTGCCCTCCAAATTTGGCCAACATAAGAGACCGGGGACTTATGCTTGTGAGGAAACAGGACCAAAGCAGATGGAACCAAAGACTGTGGCTGCTGCAGCCACATATTATCCACTCAGGGCTCCATTTCACTCAGGCTTTTATCTATTTTAGTTTATTTTAGATGGAACTGTGGGTTGGTGGACTTCTACTGGCCACTTTAGACCTCCATGCCTCAGTTTATTCTTTCATATGAGGGTCACAATGTTTGTCTCAGTCTCAGGTATAGTTAGGTGTTGCTAATTAAAGAATGCAATGAAGAATTTTAACAGGTTTGATGAAAGTCAGTAAACACATTAAAACTCAGGCTTCACTTTTATAGGAACACTGCTTTCTTTACAATGCATTTGAATTGTAGGCAGTTACTATTGCATGCATCCTTTTTGCATTTAGCCATCTTTCCATTCACTCTGTTGAATATTAAGGTTTTTATTCCTCTTAGCCTGGATTGTTCAAATTAGTGCTTAAAACTAATTTTTCTTTGGTATACAGAAACCTATATTATTTGTGGGTTAATTATCTCTTTTTTTAGCTCTAGAGAAATGCAATGTAGGTCAATAATGTGACTGTAAGATTTGAGAACATTGTTATGGTAATAAAAAGAAGTAAAAAATGTGTGTTAAGTTTGATTGTATTTAATAGCAGTAACTAAGGTATATAGAGATTATTAGAGCTCATTAGCACAATTTTTCAGAGAAGGATGACAGGGAAAAAGAGAAAGAAGGAAAGAAAGGAAGGAAAGAAGAAACAAAGGAAGAAAGAATGATAGAAAAAAGTAGAAAGATCAGGAATTTTTTTTTTTTTAAGAACTATTGCAGTTTCACATGTAAGGAAAAGAATTTATTGCATAAGGAAATGTCAGTAAATGTAGCGGAAATGCTAAGTCACAGCATGAACTAGTGATTGAACACCTGGTGGGAAGGCAGGGCCAACCCAGGGGAGCTCAGGTGCATGCAGTGCAACTGACTGAACAGGAGTAGAGTCAGGATCCACCTCTTCCCAAATCTCATTTAAGGGTTGGCAATGGAGGCTAGGAGATTTCACTGGAGATCCCTACGTGAGATCTTCTGAAGGTAAGTAGATTCTTTCTTTTGTTCCTGTGCTGATCACTGTTGTATTTGAGTAAGCACAGCCAAGGGCTTTGCTTCTCTGTGATTGTTGTGCTTTCCTTTGCACTATAGTAGGCAAAAGTGAGATAAACAAATCTGAAAATAGACCCTCAAAGTTAGGTGAAATATATCTTACGATATTCAAAATTAATGTAATGTGCCTGACTGAATCTGCTCATATCATTGTCCTGAGGTTTACTTCCCTTAGAAATGATAGAGGTATAAGATTACATGCACAGTTACAGAAGCTCAAAACAATTGCTGAGCTGGATTCTGGTCTTTCACCATTGATTTTTCACTACTGTATTACATCTGATTTCAAGGAACTGTCTTCTCATTTACATGCATCTACATAAATTCAATATCAAGTTACAAGCTTTTTCTTTCCCCAGTGCTGATAATGAGCAGTGGCTGCTATGGTATGCTTCTAAAGGCACTCTGGAAAAAGAATATGTCATCATTTGCCTAATGAGAGGGAAGAGGGAGAGAGATTGCTAAATGTTTTCTCTCTAGCTCAATTAAAGGAAAGAGTGCAGGACAAAGAGCGAGAAAGCATGCAAAGGGGAGATCTGCATACGTGACTGATTTCTTCCTGCCTTTAGCTACGAAAGCATTCTCGTTAGGTAGAACTGAAAAAGACAGGAGGATGTAGAAGCACAAAGGCTAAATCCTTCTCCTGAAATTAGACTATGGCAGTATGGGCTTTCAGTTTGAGCTGCACATTTAATTTCTAAATATAGCATTCTTGCAAAGAAAAGAATATAACGAGGTACTGTGCTGTCATTAGGAGTATAAGGACAAATTATCCATATAGAAATGAATGAGCCAAGGTTATCTACTTGCTGAAAGCTCCTTTGACTATCTGCAGCTTCCTTTCAGGACTAGTCTTAACCACTAATCTAATACAAAAGGACTTTGCCCATGCAGATGTTGCTGAGGTAGTCACTATGGTAGGGGACGTGGTTAGCAGGATGGCAATTGTCCGGGCCCAGGGATCACACCAACCATTTAACATAACAGATGGTTACAAGGTAGTGCTCCAGGCCACATCCTGGGCCAGTTTATTCTTTTTATGACTCATAAGTCTCTGGGTTTGTGTGTGTGTTTAGGATTCCAGGGAATCAAGGCTCTTGGCACAGCCAAAATCTGTGGTGTGAGTATTTACATGTACATCATGAAAGCCAGTAAAATTTTTTTCTTCTCAAGAGTAGAGAAGAGTGCTGCATCCATTTGTATAGCAGGACAATGAATGCACATATCTTCTGCTGGAAGACTACCTGTCCCTCTAGGCTGCAGCACAAATAAATAGGCTCGCTAGAAGGATTTCTTCCTTCCCCCAACTTTCCCATTGACTGCAAGTGCAGCTCACAGCATTTCTGTCCCACATTGTGAGCATGCAGTAATGACACTCCCAGTGCATGGGCCTTGATCAGCACACTGCCAGTGGACAGCCTATGAGCCAGCATCTGTAATAGGACAAAAATATGAGTGGGCAGGTGATGGCTGAGAATCAAATCTAATGATTGTCATGCTCAAACTCTGATTGACAGGTCTGTATGAGTACATGAAGAGACAGCTTTTTTTCCACAGGTCATAGAGATCTATGACCAAAGGTAGCTAGGAAGGTGTGAGTGTCCTTGTCATCAGGTCAGCCACCAGCCCTTAATGGGATTCTAGGATTATATCCCACACTGGTCTCGCAACATGTACAATGGCTTGAGCCATGCAGAGTGCTGAAGAAGTTACCTTGCATCTCTATTTGTATCTACTCCTCAGGCATTGAATTAGGCAACAAAGAACATGCTTGATGTGCCTATTATAATCTAGTCCCTAGCAGTTGAATTCCTGTTACTTTAAATCTCCTCATATTTCTTTGCTGCCTGCCTAAGATGTAGCAGCTTTGTGAGATAAGCTATACCTGCCCTTTTGCTATTTCGAGTACCAGAAGATTTAGCTAGGAAAAAATGATTTTGTGAATACTTTCTTAGCTCACCTAGTCTTAGATATTGCAGTTTCTACCAATAAATAGAAAGTAGTTCAGATCACAAGAAAGACTTGCATCAGCAATCTCTTGCTGTGTTTTTTTTTTTCTTAGTCTCTTGTCACTGAAGACCTAAACTTTGAGTCCCCATCCTCATAGATCTCCTGGTTTGTTCCATCATCAAGCTGTAACACAGATAATTTTTTTTCTCTGCAATGAAACCTATTTTCTTTATTGCCACCTACCTGGACACTAGCTAGGAGGGGGAGTAGTGGCTCTGGCTTCTGGTTGTTCAGCTTGCAGCACAGGATGATGTCCAAAGTGAGGAACGCAGCAGAGGAGTGGGTCTCTGTACTCTCTTATTAGCAAAACAGAAGATGCTGAGGAAAGCAATCTGTCATGGGGAGAAGCGTAGATCTGCCACTGATGTTCTAGTTGTGCACTTTGTGCTGGGTGTGGAAGAAGTTGGTGAACACATGAATCAGTACTTCTAGATCCTCTGTCCTGAACTGCAATTATCACAAAAACTGAAATAAGAATGTTATTCCTGGCGATTGAGAACATGGCACTAAACTCAGTTTTATTTAACTAAGTCTGCCACTTCTGGAGATATGACTATCTAATGAGGTGGTCATATTTGCTTAAAAATACCTTATTTTAAAAATGTCATGGACAAAAATAATCACTCACATAGATTTTGTATATAGCTCAGCACAAGAGTAAGTAAATCTTATGAGTACTGTTAACAGTTCCAGCCCCTGTAAAAGGGGCTGAGCACTATCACACAACCAGAGCCCTCCACAGTTTACCAATGGAATGTCTCTGTGCATTGGCTGGAAAATACTAGCCTTGCATTACCCAGCCCTGTTCTCAGGTAGTATAACAAGGACAGAGAAGGATACAGTAGATATGATGCAGAAAAAAATCGGACACTTTCTGGTTGCTCTTTCCACTTCACATTGTATCTAAACCACTGTTCACATTAGGGAGTCTTATTAACATCAGCACACACCAATTAAATTTTTGTATAGAAATACTGTGGTAAATGGGAGAGTTGTCTGCAGAAGCTGCAAGTCAGAATTCAATCTCAATCACCAAGACAGACACAAAAGGCCCAATCTAGTTTGAATTACCAGAGGGAGCTTTTCAGCATCATTCATTATCTTCATCATTTAGAGTGACCCTAGCAGTATTTTCAAATTACATTTAAAACTGTAGCAGTTATTAATCAGTGGACTATGGCAAGTCAGCAGAAGGGTGGAGGCAGATACAGTATCATTTTGATCTTGCTGCATAAACTGCTTTCAAGGGTAAAATTTCTTGTATTTCTATCTTTTAATCATTTGGATGTCCAGAATAACAAGCAGAGTATTTTACCACAATTGAGAAAGCTTTTACTACATGTCACAAGAAGAAAAATGAAATTAAATTGTCTGTCTCTCCCTGGGGAAAAAAAAAGGCGTTTTCTTCCATTCCTATGAACCTAATTTTCATTAAATCTCAATTTCATGGTCTTAGTAAGCATACCAGGACATCAAATAGCACAGGCCATACCAGAAGAGAGCTGAATTAAATGATAACAATACTTGTTCAGAACTAACATTTCATTAGAGAAAAATAAAGAAAAATGTTTTTTCCTTTAATTTATGAAACTCCATATCATGGCAGTGTTTTTTGTTTAGCATTCATTTATATTTTTTCTATGTAAAAAGCAGTATTGTTAGCAGTGGTTTGATGACATTACTTAAATACTTCTGCTTTTAAGGAAAAAAATGTGTGTTTTGTTTTGAGCAACTGTCTTCTACTGGCCTCTTCTTTATCGCTGTAGCTAAGTGATATTCTGATAACATGGATATAATAAAAAGACGCAATTTTGTTTCATCTTAGTTTTTACTCCAAGCAAAAAAGGTGACTAATGATGGCATCAGTGGCTTCTCTACTCCTTTAAAGTTCTATTTTCCATGGATCAGTGAAATTTTATTAGAATGCTCAGTTAAAAAAAAAAAAACTGACAAAATTTCCTTTCATTATCTTAAAAAAAAAAAAAAAAAAAAAAAAAGCGGGGGGGGAGGGGAGGGGAGGGGAAGGTCACTAAGGCTACTTATTCAGGTAATGCTTAGATAAAAATTTGGAGCTGTTAAGTGCTTACTTTACATACTCCTATTTCTGATTAAAGCATTTCACTTAGAGAAACTAAATGTGCCCGAAACTGTAGACAAAATGTTATCTAAGGAGTATTTTATTTCTCTGAAATACAGTTCAGACAAGCCTGCTCTATGTAATTATCCTCACAAAGAACCGCTGGATTCTGTTTCAGTTAAAAAAAAAAAAAAAAAAAAAAAAAAAAAAAAAAAAAGCAGAAAAATCTTTAAAGCTTTTCTCTATATTAAAGCCACTTCGATGCCAACAGTACACTCTGAATAAAACCCTGAAGAAGGGTCCTAGAAGATGTGTAATTCAGTTAGTTTCTGAAGAACAAGTAAGAGATCTGTACACAGGATTTTCTATCACAGCTCTAGCCTTGA